ACGAGTCACGCATAGTACTGGCTCGGTTTTCCATGGACCGAGCAGGGGAAGGATCCATATAGGGACATGCGGAAGGTGCTCGGCTTTACTTATAAACCGAGCAGAATGATAGGCATAGTGTCTGCTCGGTTTCTCACGAACCGAGCAGGTGAAAGATCCACATGTTGAAACGCGGAAGGTGCTCGCTCGGTTTCTTATGGACCGAGCAGATGAACAATCCTTATGCCTCGCGTATGAACCGAGCTGTGTAATAGGCATAATGTTGGCTCAGTTTCTCATGGACCGAGCGGGTGAAAGACCCGCATATCGACACATGGAAGGTGCTCCGTTTTGGGCACAGTACTTGCTCGGTTTCTCACAAACCGAGCATGTGAAAGACCGCATGATAACATGAGTGAGGTGCTCGGTTCCTCATAGACCGAGCAGGTGAAAGACCGCCGGTTAATATGAGGAAGGTGCTCGGTTTCTTATAGGTACCGAGCGGGATGTTGTGCCTAACGCTTGCTCAGTTTCTCGCGGACTGAGCAAGTGAAGCTTCGGATATTGTTGTTCGCGGACATAAGATTAGCCACGCCACAACAAACAAAGTAGTAGAAAGAGGGAAGGTGAGGGTGCGGTAACTCACCCATAATAATGGAGCGGCTGGAAATCACGAACAAATAGGGAGACCGCGTGTTATTGCCGAAGAATTTGACCAGAATCTTGGAAGGTCCACGATAGCTGGTGTTATTTTGGTTGGGATGCAGTTTGAAGAAGACCAGATAAAAGGGTATTTTGGAAGAAGACAACACTTTGTTTATATATAGTAAGAAGACTTTTCAAAAGTTGGATTCAATTTGCAAAAAAGACTAGAAAAAGTAGTGGGCACGTGCCCTAAGTATTAAAGTACAGATTAAGTGGTCATAGGTTTAGGGGTATGATATAACATGACTGATGACGGACTGCAATGATGACAGGGAGGTGACCATTGCGAATTCCAAGATTTCTTTTCCGGTGGCTCAGTTTGCGAGCTAAATAATATGCTCGGGTGGGATTTATTAATCTGCTCGGAATTATTAATTTGCTCGGTCAAAGATGGCAGAAAAGCTGCTTGGTTCATCATTTCTCACCTGCTCGGTCCACATAGGAGACAAGCTGCTCGACTGCGATTTTGGTTAATCTGCTCGGCTAACGTGGCGGAAAAGGTGGTTTGGATGGGTAGTGATTAATCTGCTCGGTCAAAAGGTTAAATAATCTGCTCGGTCAAGAAAAAAAAAAACAAAACCTCTGCTCGGCCACCCTAGCAGGTACTGCGAATTGGATCCATATGCTCGGATGGCGTGGTGAATTTGATTCATCTGTTCGGGCAAATGTAATGATTTATTTGTTCGGTTAAATGCAGTGGCTAATTTGTTCGGGCGACGTAGGATTGTACTGTTTGGCTTGTTGTTGATGACCGCGTGTTATCTTCGAGAAATCTGACCGGAAGGGGAGGCGATATTTGGTGCTATGATGTTGAGAGGAAGTTTGAAGAACATGTAGTAACATGTTTTGAAGAAGACAATAATTGTTCATATTTGTAGCAAAATATTCTTGAAATTTGTCCAAGTGGGATAGGAGGGCTAGGCACGTGGGTCAAGTACCTGTTGGAATTGCATAGCATAGTGGATTGTGACAAGGCATGGAAGCAGATTAGTCAACAGTAATAATGAGGTAGTGGGCAGGTGTTTCTTTTCAAAATGTGGCAAGCTCCAATAGGCATTTTTTATTAATCTGCTCGGGTGTAGCACTTTTAATCTGCTCGGGTGTAGCACTATTAGGGCACGTTTGTTAGGGTAGACAAGATGAGATTAGGC